CAAGGAGTGTACACCCAATGTACTATCAGCCATAGATATCCATAATAAAGGCTAGATTTCTCCTCCGCGCTGCTGGCCAATGGAGGTCGATGTCCGCACCTGACGGCCATCTTGTCACAGGCAGCTCGCTCACATTGTGTTTCAATGGTGCGTGTACTTTTAAATAACCATAACTTCCTCAATTTTCTACCGATTTTCAAATGGTTTGGTTTGTTATAAAGGGGATGTAGTTATGACACGGCATACTTATAAATAATAAGTGTCACCCAGAATTATATAGCCACATTAATAACGTTTGGAAGAAACCAAACCGTTTGTAAATCTGTCAAGATTTCAGCGCGATAAGATTATTTGTGTTCGTGCTGATCACGTATCTTACATCAGGTACCACCATAGAAAGTAAAGAAAGGGTACCACAGAGCACGCCAGAAAACGTACTCGGGTAACGTAACCTCGATTCTCTCTAGAAGTGGGAACGAATACAATCTTACGCTAGGGGAAAACCTCTTTTCCACGAGATATTAAGGCCAAAAATTATCCTTAATTTTCAATAAAAGTAAAACGCGTTATGGCAGCGTGCAGACATAGGCAAGGCGGCTTGCGTGCCTATTGGCTGTCCTGCGGCAACTGCAGCAGCCTGTCGAGAGAGGCCCTTTGGTGACAGTCCAATAATTTGCTTATTACATATTAGCTTCAAAGGCCAAATGGAATTTCCAGAATTTTAATTTGCCATTTGGTAAATTCTCTGAAAGTAAACTGTTGAACGTAATGTGGCCTTTTCTCCTTATTATATTTTGAAAGGTTTTAGAAATGAAGGCCAGACTACATTTAGATTTCTCATTATTAGCCGTTTCACTGAGACCGTTTTTAATCTCTTTGCTTCAGCGTTTCTCAGATTAATGAAGAAGATTTTCTTCTGAAAGAGAAGGTGCATTTGGAGCAGCACTGAGTTGGAGGTCATGCTTATAAATGGCTCCTGACATGCTTTTACTAGTACTGACACTGACTGACCATGTTTCCACATCAAAGAGTTCTGTATTAATGTGGGACACGACAGCTATTTAGAAAATTTAATTTTTCTTACTCCATTGACAGATTTTCTTTCTTGTTTTAAGCATTCTCATTTTATTTTTTGACTAATTTATCAGCAAACAAAACTTCATTTCTTATATTATCTTGTTTGTATAGTAAATGTCTTGATTTAAAAATGTTTAGATATTTGAGGTGGAAAAAGGACCAGAAATAACAGAAACAGAAATAACTTCAATTTCAGTCTAGCTTTGAATATATTAAATGGACAAACGTAGCCAACCATCTTTACTGATCACAGCGCATTATCTGATGGGCTATTTACGGACAAAGAGCATGCAATAATATCCTGTTTTTGCGATCACACTCAATTATTCCCGGCTCTTCGGATGCTGACCACACCCACTGTCAGGCAATTCCTATGGAGCGAAGTATGTGCCTAAACCTCACACACAAACAAAACGTGTTTTACTCACACCCAATGATTCACAAACAAACTCAGTGTGGTTTGTAAATACAAAACATCACTCACAAACTAATGCATATTGTTCTGCAAATAAAAAACGTACCTATCAAACAAATACAGTATGTTTTACATATACATAGAAACGTATTTCTTCAATGACCAAAATATCCTGCAAGTACAAACTAAAATCTTTGAAAGTACAAAACAAAATTCTACACGTACAAAGCAAAATTATACAAGTACAAAGCAAAATTATACAAGTACAAAGCAAAATTCTACAAGTACAAAACAAAATTCTACAAGTACAAAACAGAATTCTACAACTACAAAACAGAATTCTACAAGTACGAAAAACTGTCACGTGACTTTTGGCACTATTTTTCCGCGTCCAGGCAGAATCAGATTTTCTCACAAATACAGTGGAACAACTTCCTCTTCTAGAACAGTAGATGGCGCTAAGATAAGGGATCAATTTGCTCGCCTTTGCCCATGGGAAAATGAGCGGTGAACAGGTGTGTTTCTGTCCAACTTTATCTAAATTAACCTTATTGAGGTTTTGGAAAATGTTTATTATATAGACAGAAATCCACATTAGCACTTAGTAGTAACGAACTCCACTCTAGGATAAGGGAATCTATAAGCTGAAAGCTGCCATCATGTTGCTTTTACTTTTTGTAAAAATGTTTCATTTACTGAATGACTCTATTTTTTTCGTTCTCCGTAAATTAATGAGAATTAATTTCATTTAATTGAAAGGGTCCCACTTATTCATTAATTTTGTTGGAATTCAGTCAGCGTAACTGTTAATGTAATAAAATAATGAATGAACAAATCAAACAATATACAGTTGTTTCTTCCCTGTGATGTATTGTCCAAATTATTATTTTTCGTCAGACAAATGAAACCCTCCTTTCAATTAAATTAAATGTTTTCATTATTGAGAACGAAACGAAAGTAATAGATTCGTTCAGTGTAGGCTATACATAATCACTACTTTAGTCATTTCACACGCATCTTGTAGGCTAGATTATTAATCCTGGCGCGGCGAAGATCGCCAGTGAGCATTGTCAACTTCATGTTTTCAGCCGACACACTGACAAAGATACACTTGTTTATTAATAAACAATTAAAATATCTTCTTGCTATATTTTACATAGCCTATTCATAATCTTTGTGACAGCTTTAAGGTGCTTTATTGGCAGTGCCACCCTACATGTTACACGCGTCACCACCGCATCACCGCACCCACCAGAATAGCCCAGTTTAGTAAACAGAATTAGATGGCCACAATTCTTACACTTCTAAAAGGCAATTCAATGCGGATGTAATCCCTCAGATTGAGTAGCTAATGTAATGGAATACGTTACAAATGACATTTTGGGGCATTTATTCTGTAACGAAATACGTTTTCCCAACACTGCCTACTACAGCTGAGGAAAGTGAGCGGTGAACGGTGTGTTTCTGTATTACTTTATATAATTAACCTTATTGAGGTTTTCTTTTGCAAAATGTTAATTATTTCTTGACAAAAATCCATATTACCGCTATTAGCACTTCACTCTCTCTAGGGGAATCTAGGCTGAAATCTGTCATATGTTGCTTTAAAAAATAATATTAGGCTAATAATCTACATAAGACGCGTGTGAAATGACTAAATTAGTGATTATGTTCACTGAACGAATCTATTACTTTCGTTCTCCATACATTAATGAGACCATTTAATTTAATTAAAAGGAGGGTTTCATTTGTCTGTCCAAAATAATAATTTGGACAATACATCACAAGGAAGAAACAACTGTAGGCCTATATTGTTTTGTTCATTCATTATTTTATTACATTAACAGTTACGCTGACTGAATTCCAACTAAATTAATGAATAAGTGGGACCCTTTCAATTAAATGAAATTAATTCTCATTAATTTACGGAGAACGAAAGAAATAGAGTCATTCAGTAAATGAAACATTTTTACAAAAAGTAAAAGCAACATGATGGCAGCTTTCAGCTTATAGATTCCCTTATCCTAGAGTGGAGTTCGTTACTACTAAGTGCTAATGTGGATTTCTGTCTATATAATAAACATTTTCCAAAACCTCAATAAGGTTAATTTAGATAAAGTTGGACAGAAACACACCTGTTCACCGCTCATTTTCCCATGGGCAAAGGCGAGCAAATTGATCCCTTATCTTAGCGCCATCTACTGTTCTAGAAGAGGAAGTTGTTCCACTGTATTTGTGAGAAAATCTGATTCTGCCTGGACGCGGAAAAATAGTGCCAAAAGTCACGTGACAGTTTTTCGTACTTGTAGAATTCTGTTTTGTAGTTGTAGAATTCTGTTTTGTACTTGTAGAATTTTGTTTTGTACTTGTAGAATTTTGCTTTGTACTTGTATAATTTTGCTTTGTACTTGTAGAATTTTGTTTTGTACGTGTAGAATTTTGTTTTGTACTTTCAAAGATTTTAGTTTGTACTTGCAGGATATTTTGGTCATTGAAGAAATACGTTTCTATGTATATGTAAAACATACTGTATTTGTTTGATAGGTACGTTTTTTATTTGCAGAACAATATGCATTAGTTTGTGAGTGATGTTTTGTATTTACAAACCACACTGAGTTTGTTTGTGAATCATTGGGTGTGAGTAAAACACGTTTTGTTTGTGTGTGAGGTTTAGGCACATACTTCGCTCCATAAATTCCCTACTGTCCCTCCACAATACTTCGCCAACACACCCTACCGTTTCTCTGAAACGACACCGCAGTTCTCACTGTCACCAGCAGAGGGCGAGGCGAGCTCGCGCATTGATGACACATAAATCAGAACGACGCTTACAAGACACATGATAAAAACGATACAATTTTAAGAATTAATTTGAATTTTAAGATAAAGTCTCTTGTCTCAAAAATCCATTACATTAGTGACTGTGTCTGTGTGAGTATATAGGCCTACCTATGATATATTTGGACATACCATCGTCATATGAAATGTAGTGAAAGAAGTAGGTTACTATGTTTGATATGTCTCATTAAGATTCACGTGGTGCTTGATAAATGATTGTGTCAAAGAAAACACATATGGTTGTGTTCCAGTCAAATGTGAAGTGATATAAAGGATCTCTAAGAAATGTGTTGGTCCTTTTACAGTTAGCCTACCGTCTCCAAATAAATCCAAATATTAAATTGTATTAATAAACTCATGATGTTATCTTCCACCCCAAAATACAGGTTTATTCATCTGTATGTCGCATTGTTGAACAGTCCAGGAACTCTTGTTTTGTTCCCTTGTATACTGACATAATTCCCATTGGCACTGGGTCACATTACATGCTGACACAGGGCACATTTTTTCCAAATAATTTTACTCAGACTGCCACACTGAATTAACTGTCTTACTCACTGTTGAAAACACGCCTGGACTGATTTACCCAAGGCAAGTTTTGAAGCATGAAATTCAAACTATTCGCTGTTAGATGGGCTGAAATGGTGTGTGTGAGTGTGTGTGTACCTACCTATAACATATTTTGAGCAGATACAGATCCCGCTGTTTTCCAAGTTCGTCCCACCTGTTCCTGGAGCGAAACTGTAGCATTTGGACAATAGTCAGGTACACTGGGCACACCTAGCAGTGCCAGCTGACAGATGGGTAGCGTCCTAATTCAAAAGTGTCATCTCCAATCTGCATTCATTATTCATAAATGTACTGTAACACAACAAACATCACTGACAGGTCAATTTTTACACTTCCTGAGGCTACGCAAATGTTTTCTTCACTTCCTGTTAGCGTTGTCTAAATGTGCATGGCTGAAATGTTGCACCTTCCCCGGGCTGACCCGAATTAGGACGTCCATACAGGGAAACTGTATAGCAATATATAAGAGAATGCATATATAGGCCAACATCCAACATTATATGAATAGCCTATTATAAAAATAGTATAAACATATTTTTACTATTATAGAAAAGAGACAAAATAAACAATTCTCATCATTTTTAGTTTAGTATTCTTTAGGATACTATTAGCATTATATTATTTATTCAAATTTAAAATTAGCTTTTATTTTGCTATTTAATTATTTATTTTTTCGTTAGTTTTAGTAATTGTAAATTTAGTATTTGTAAATTGTAAATTATCCCCCCCAAATTATTTCATATATTTTAATAAATTATTTTTTATTTACAAAGTCAACAAGTTTCATTTAAGTATACGGTTTCCGTCTACTTAAAAAAGAAAAAAAAATTATTTAAAGACTCATTTTTAGAGTTATTATCTATGGTTATTTTAGACTAAATAAAAGCTAAGCTTATGTGACAACTGTTACTAGTTTATGTAAAATAAAAGTTTGAACATGTTTTCTGGGCTAATATTTGTTAATACATGATTAAATTTAGGTTTGATAATTTGCACTTCTAAATTTTGTCTTTTGAATATACTCAATGGCTATAACAACTCTTTTTTTTCTCAGAAATTGGATGGAAAAAAAATCGATTTAATGTCATTGGCATCATTGGTTAAGACCATATTTTAAGGTGAAAGATGCACCGTGAAACATGAAAAGTACATTTAAGAACATTTATTTTCGCATTCAGTATTGAGTACAGCTTAAGTGCAAATAGTTAAGAGTCAATGGCTAAAATATGAACAACACTTAACAGTACAAAGATTGACAGATTCTAGCTGGCAATCACTCACAGAAGCTTCCTTCTCCTCCCTCTCTTTTGTTTAGTATCATTTTCAGGAACAAAAGGATAAATGACATCACAAAAAAAAAAAAAAAAACATGAATCTCTGTAGTGGAGTCCTACGAAAAAGAAACTGTAATACTGTAATGCTATAGTGAGCTGACCATATCTAATCAGAACATTGCTAAATAGTTGCGTTTGTGCCCATATATCATGAACCTCTGCAGATCCATGTGTCTAGCTGACAATGACGATTACTGCATGTTAACAATGTTTACAGCCCCCAACCAACACCCTAGACACAAAGAAGCTTGTTTTTTTTTTTCAAGAAGAGAGTGTCACTGGAGAGCAATAAAGCTGGAGATCCTTCACATACTACAGAAATTTTCAGCACAGCTGAGAAAGCACATAAACCTCAAAGATAAAAAGAGAATTCATCAGCACTTAAGACTCTTGACTTCATGCACTTTATGAGCAACACATAAAACAAAAATCACATCTAGTCTTTTTGTCGGATTTGAATAATATGTTTCATGGTTACTTCTACAATTCATCAAGTAGTTGTACTTCTGACTAGATCCTGAATTGAGAAACAGCACGCTTAACTTTTTTTTCTTCATTTTTTCTATGATTACAAGGTGAGGATGGGACTTCTCCTGCACAGCTTTGTCATGGCTCTAGACTTCACAATGTGTACAAAGTAGAACTATGTTCCAGTGATGTTTATTTCTGATATGTGTGTGTGTTTGTGTATGTGTGTGTGTACAAAGAGGAACCCTTGATCATCATTCAGCTCTCCCTGCAATGGGTCGGTCTGGGGCTCAGAACCTCCTCCAAAAGGGGCCTATTCAGCCTTTCGTTTGGCACCAGGAATCTTCTCCTGGATCCTGTGCAAACAAAAACACAATTATATCACTGTATATTATATTCAGTATGACTTTTTGATTGATCAAAAGTGAAAGTAATGATGTATAATGTTACAAAACATTTCTATAATGCTTAAAGGGAGTACTTACTTTCCTACCACAGAGTTGACTTGGGTCCTTATTAGGTCCAGATACTGATCTATCTGTGCCTAGAGAGAAAGATTAAAAAAGTGAGTCATTGTAGTCATGGTGCTTATGAATTATACATGATGCTGTAGTCATGGTGACAAAGGTGTTTTTCTGACCTGGTATTTCTCGTAGACCACGGGCATGGAGAACATGGACACCACCACTGAAGCAAGATGCAAGGTAAATGTTAAAATGCAGAAGAGTGCATGATGAGTAAACACAGTAGTCTGTCATTTAAATCAAAGGTGTAACACCACTTTTTGCCAGGATCGATATTGTCCCCACCACTTTTTTGAAACATCTCACTGGACAAATATGCAAACGCAATACCTAATGCAAATGAAACATGTCAAGTTGAGGACAATTGGTCTTAAATAAGAGGCAATTTGGCGCTGGAATGTGTTTTTGAAATGATGCTGAGTGTTTGTTGCCACTGTTATCAGCAGCGGAACGTTCTCTTTGGGCTCGAGACCAGTCTTCACCCAGACGAGCGTTTTAATCTCTCTGTTCTTTCTGGTGAAATCACAAATGCACACAAATGTGTCCGAGCTCGAGATATAAAATCCCAGATGAACATCTTTTGATTTTAATTAAGAAAAATTAACCTATACAAGAGCGGATTAACCCGGGAACTACTTCTGACAAGATTAACAAAGGTTCTATCACCAGACCATTTGGGAACAAGAATGCTTGCGGACAATTGCGAATCTATGTATTTATTCACTAACATGAAGAATCTCGGGACTAACAATATATTGTATTATAGTAGGTTTAAAAATGAAACTATTGAGTTCTATGTCGATATATTAAACTATCGAAATACATTTCTAGACATCGTAATGTTCTTTTTTTACCAAACATTTACCATATCTGATATAGCATTGTATTAGCAACTCCCCTCACACATTCTTCTGTCTCACCCCTTTTTGTTTCAAATTACAAATACATATGGAACTGAATAAACTGCTCACCCATAATAAGAAGAGTGAGACCATTGAAGAGGGCACCCACATAGGTCAGCAACCACATCAGCACTGCAAACTTGAGGCAAACAAAAACAACTAGCAGTTAAAACACACACGTACTGCATATGGTTTATGAATGCATCATAAACCATGTGATTTAGGGATCACATGGTTTATGATGCATTTCTGTGGCAGTAACAAAAGCATTATAGAAGTGCACTTACACTCATATCGCAAGAATAAACCAATAAGGTGATAAACTGCTCTAATATTCTGTATACTAACTCTAGATTTCCTGAAAAAAACTTAAAAACCTAACTTGAAATTGTAAAATGAACATTCATATTCACTACTGGTTTAAAGTTTGAGGTCAGTACGATTCTTTTTTTCTAACAAGTAATTTTGGATGTATTAAATTGATCAAAAGTGACTGTAAAAACTAAAAAGTAATGTATACATTACATAAAAAATGCTGTTCTTTTGAACTTTCTATTCATCAAAGAATCCTAAAAAAACATCAGTGTTTCCACAAAAATATTAAGCAGAAATTTTTTTTTTCCATAGAGCCCCTAATTTGACATGGTGATGAAAACAATTACGAGTCACAAAAAATAAAATAAAAAAAATTAGATGTCAATGCTTTTGCGTTCGCTCACAAAATGTTTGCGGTCCTTGAGAAACTTAGCGTTACCTTGTAAAACGTGTACGTTCCCACGAGAAACTTTTGAAACTCAAGAAGTTTTGCAAGGGACCGCAATGTTTCTTGGGGGAACAAAAAAGTTTTGTACGCAAATGCAAAAGCTTTGAAATCTATTTCTTCCCCCCATAATATATATTTTTCAACACCATGTCCTTTTAGGGGCTCCGTAGTTTTCAATATTGATAATGAAAATAAATGTTTTATAGATCAGCATATTAGCATATTAGAAGGTTTTCGTAAGGATCATGTGACACTGAAGACTGGAGTAATGATGCTGAAAATTCAGCTTCGCCATCATAAATTACATTTTAAATTGTACAAATATTTCTGTTTTTACTGTATTTATTATTATGAAATAAAAGCAGCCTGAGTGAGCATAAGAGACTTGAACTTTGTGCAGTGTAAGCAAAAAGTTCACATCCTGATCACGTCCCATAATTTCTGTGCTTTCCTATCAAGTATAAATTTCAGAAAAAAAGTCAAAAGTCTATCAAAATCTGTCACTTGTATATTAAACTGTCCGAATGATCACCTTTAGTGAGTCCACCAGATCCTGCACCAGGAACAGTCTGCGCAGTTCTTTCAGTGAGCTGTTGATATAATACTGGATGTTTTCTGCATACTTCTGCATCTGATCATGGGACAGTGACATCTCCACATCCAGATAAGCTCTGCATCCAGGTGATAAAAACATTGTTAGTAACTTAATGTGCTACACAAGCAGGCACGCACGCATGCACACGCGTCTTACTTGAAGGGATGTCCCTCGTCTGTTTTCTGCACAGCCTGCAGCACGGACTTGTAGACCCTGAAGCTGATGGTGGCGGAGAGGGCAGCCAGGGCCAGATAGGCCACCACGCTGACCACACTGAACTGCGTCAGGGAGAAAAGCAGCAGCAGTAAACTGCCAAACACCAGCCCACTCTGCTTCAGGTTCCTCCAGTACAGCAGCTCCATCGCTGGATGGGAAGAGAGAGAGAAAAAGAAGATCAAAATCATGCACTTTTGGGATTGGTGGTGGTGGTTTACAGTATGCCACAAATCTGATTGTCATTGATTGAGGATCCTCAATTCAGCATTTAAGACCTACGGTGATGTAACCACAAGTGAATCACTCTGCACCAGCGCTGAGTCAGAGATAACACAATTAGAAAGGATTACACAAACAAAGAGGAATATTTAAAAAAAAAAAAAAAATGCCTGGATTCAGTCCGCAGAATGAGACGGAATACGTGTATGTCCCTGCTTCACAATATGCCAAAAGATGCATGTCAAAAAAGAAGGATGTCTGAATAGCCATTAG